CCTCACAAATGAAGAAGATCTATGGGCAAACACACTGACGAGTGGGGGGGAAAAAATAAAATAAAAATAAAATTTAAAGATTGAATAAAGAAAAATAAGGAATTAAAGAAAATCGAAAAAAGATTAAAATGAGTCTTTAGTAGAGCGAAATTATATTCACACGGGGCAGCAAGTGTTTGTCCGCTTTCTTCCTCATGATAACAAGTGAATGTACGGCTTACCTTAAGTCCAAGCATCGACCTGGGGGGGGGGATCAACGGCCAATCCTCCGCCCTCACCAAATAGTGGGCTTGGGAGACATGCTTTCAATAAAAATTAGGAACAACAGGAGAAAGAAACGACGAAAACAATTCCAAGTTCAGACAATTTAAACTAAACCATCAAATAGGTTAGAATGATTAGGACAAAATGTGTTACTATGGGCAAACACACTGACGAGTAGGGGGAGAAAAAATACACGGTCGGTTTGTTTTAACGTGGGAGACCCGAGTGTAGACACACGGGTCACTGGTCAAAACAGGTCTTAGCTAGTCATAGCTTATTTAAGCTAGTCATAGCTGGTTATACCACCGCCATGGAAGAGATGTTACGGAACAAGTCCGAAGATTCTGTCCAGGCAGAGAAGAAATCCAACGGCATAGAACAGATACGACAACAGCAACATCTCCGACGACGAGAAAACTTATCCTCTCGTAAATCGTCTATTTCTATTACAATCCCATCTGGTCTTGCTGTTCTGTTCCTGTTCATCTTGGACAGTGAAGGTCTTACTTCAGACTTTACCTGTACTTTCAAAATAATATTACGCTCGAGTCTCAGGAGACCGTCCTCCAGGCACCCTCACCAAATAGTGGGCTTGGGAAACACGCTTTCAATAAAATTAAGAACAGGAGAAAGAAACGACGAAAATAATTCCAAGTTCAGACAATTTATCAAGCAAGAAGATTCGACCACTAAATCATGAGAATACTGACGAGACATTTTCGCATCTAGCCAAAGACATTCAATTTTACCTTTTTTTTTGTGATTTTTCTTTCGAAACGGGGTTTCTAACTAGACCATCAAGTAGGTTACAATGATTAGGACAAAATGTGTTACTATGGGCAAACACACTGACGAGTAGGCGGGGGTGGGGGAGGGGAGAAAAAATACAATAAAATAAAATTTAAAGATTAAAAAAAGAAAAATAAGGAATTAAAGAAAATCGAAAAAAAATTAAAATGAGTTTTCGGTACAGCGAAATTATACTCACACAGGTGGTTCTTCAGAAGGATGCGAGAAATACCATGGACCGAACGTGTGAGCAAAGCCAAAGTTATAAACCAATGGAAACCAAAAGAACCCGTATACTTAGAAATAGTTGAAATTTCTAGGAGAAGTGTTTACATTTGTCAACATAGGAGACAGTGTTTACATTTGTCAACATAGGAACCCCGAACATCTTTCATTTCTATCCATCGAGTTATAAAGGTTGTTTATGCGTTTACGAAAAAACTCTAAAGGTTTTGGGCGTCCATAATCTTTGAATGCAGTTTCTGCATCTTTTTTTTTTTTTTTTTTTGCAATTGAATGTCTTTTGGATTAAGCAATTTTCAAGATGCTGGAAAAAGTTGATAGTCAGTGGGCGAGAGATCGAGAGGATATAGTGGCTAGTCTCGTATCCCAAATCGGCGAGATTGTGGCAAGTGTCAGTGTCACCCTGGCAACATGTGGACGTCCATTTCCACGAAGCAGAACTGAACCTCGTCGATTAATCAGTGTCTGACGTATTTTACTGAAGTGGTTCAGGGTGTAGTAATCATAAAATGTCGCAAATGCTAACAAAAAGGACTTTTATATTTAGAATCACTAAGAGGCACGGTGGAATTATGGATAGCGGCTCGGATTGAGGAGTCGAAGAGGCGAGTCGAATCCATTACATTCACTTACATGCTAATATCCTTGGGAAAGGTATGAATCCTCTTCTCCCCCCCCGCTATGGGTAAATAGTACGACAGACCAGGTACTATAGCCTTGGATGGCAACTGGTCTACCGCAGAAAGAAATGGCAGGAAAAAAATCTGCCTCGTCAGGCATGTATTGAATGATACATGATCGCCTACGCGTGTATCACCCATGGCAAGTGGTTCTTCAGAAGGTTGCTAGGAATACCATAGTCCGAACGTTTGAGCAAAGCCGAGGTTTTAAAGCAATGAAAACCAAAAGGACCCTTATTTTTATAGATAGTTGAAATTTCTAGGGCACAGTGTTTAAAATCTGTCACAATAGGAACCCTGAACATCTTTCATTTCTACCCATCGAGTTACAGGGTTATTTATGCCTTCACCACAAAACTCATTTTCACGAACCAGAACTGAACATCGTCGATTAATCAGTGTCGGACGCATTTTGCAGAAGTGGTTCAGGGTGTAGTAATCATAAAACGTCGCAAATGGTAACAAAAAGGACTTTTATATTTAGAATCAGTAAGAGACACTGTGAAATAATGCGGCTCGGACTGAGGAATCGGAGAGCCGAGTTCGAATCCATTACATTCACTTACGTGCTTATACCCTTAGGTTAGGTACGAATCCTCTTCTTCTCCCCTCCCCCAGCTATGGGTAAATAGTAAGACAGTCCGGGTTTTATAGCCTTGGATGGCAACCGTTCTACCGCAGAAAGAAATGGTAACCTACTGTAGGAAAAATCTGCCTCGTCAGTCATGTATCGAAAGATACATGATCGCCTAAGCGTGTATCACGCATGGCACATAACTGACTGTCTATACATTTAATCAAGCACACTATGAATAAATAGCAGGACAGACCGGGTTCTATAGCCTTGGATGGCAACTGGTCTACCGCTGAAAGAAATTGTAACCTACTATGGAAAAATCTGCCTCGTCAGTCATATATCGAAAGATACATGATCGCCTAAGCGTATATGACGCATGGCACATAGCTGATTGAAGTGACAGTTTAAAATTCTAGGACACATATCTAACAAAAAGGGATATTGGAATAGTGAAAAATAACGAGTAACCTACCTACCAAGCTTACTATCCCACTAACTACCTAAGGTAGCCCCACCAATTTTTCTGCAACCAAAACGGGTGGCTGAAAACGACGACAATAAAGGGGGCAGTTTCAAGCGAGTCAGTTTCAAGAATCCGATTTTTGGTGGTTTTCGGTACATGAGGAAGTCCAACGGAGGTGAAAATGGCTTTGCTTGTTTGTCCGGGTTTCCCACGTGACTTTCGGATAGCATTCCTTAAATCCGTAGCTGTCATAGTCTTGGAGGTCTCACAATCGAATCGCTTCTTCATTGACGAAGGATTCCTCAGGAATCTTCTAACCCTGTCCACATGACAACCTAACTTCTTCGCATTGCCATGAAGAGAGGTGCCTTTAGCACTTTCCTTGATGACGATAGATATTTCTTCATCGTTGAGGACTTTTCGACGTCTTTTATTTAAAGAGGAGAAATTCACCCGAAAACTGCTGAATCTGAAATAAAAAAAATAATGGACGTTGTCTTCAATTATATTATATACAATATACTTCTCTTGTTCATTATCTATTTATACGACTGTTATTCAAACATAACTGTAACGACTCTGTTTTAGGAATAGCTTCTACAAAAGTTACTGGCAATTATTATCTATTATTGATATTTTTCTTTGGAAACTGGGCCAAAATTGTCCGTTTTCAACCATTTTTCTGTCTTGAATTGACAGTCGACGCCCTCTACGCATGCGTCTTAATTGTTAACAACCCAAAGCAGTAAACATATAGTAAGTCTAAGTGCATGACAAGACATCTTAGGTCGCTAGTTGGAAATTCTTACTGTTCATATAAAAATTTAATAAAGTGATATCTAACCCATAAAGTAATGATTGCCCTTTGTCACATTTTAAAGACAGAAGTAACTATCGCGCTCTTTGTGAAACACACAAACACATACACATACACATTCCACGCGAAAATATATATATATTTATATTTATCGTTCTCTCTTACTTTTGATCTCTTTCATATAAATATATATATATATATATATATATATATATATATATATATATATATATATATATATATATATATATATATATATATATATATATATATATTATTTATACGTTATTTTTATAGATAAAATATTTAAGTAAGTGCTCTGTCTATAATAAAAATATTAACAATATTTACCGGCCTGAATGTCCGAGAGATTTCGTAGGAAATATGTGTCTTACGACAGTAATGAAACCTGTATCCTATACGGAACCGTCATATACCCTGACGTGCTTTACCATTTAGATAAAGAGGATGTCAGTTATCAATTATCCCCTGTTAATTCTCCACTCCAAGTTCTTCACCACCTTAACCAGGTATTGAACTCACACTCTTGGGTGTTGTCACTAACGCCTTTATTCACTCAAGGACACGTGGCACAGTGGATAAAGGCGTTAGTTAGATCCAGTGACAGGACCCAAAGTGTGTGAGTTCAATACCTGGTTAAGGCAGTGGAAAACTTGGAGAGGGGAATTAACGTGGAACTAGAACAATTTTATGATTTTTGACTACAGCTAAAATATATTGCTGGTATTTTTGCTATAAAATGTACAGCGGGCATTTTTGTCATGGGAATGGTATTTTTTATATAAAGATTTATTGTTGATATTTTTGCCATAAAAATGTATTTTTATACATTCATAGTATTTTATTTTTATTTGTATGTTCACTATTTGACCATAGTTGGTACCCTAACAGGTGCTACCACCCAGGGTCAGGGTGGACCTGGGAACAACATCAATTAAGAGATGGTTCCACGCTCCTCAAAACCTCCAATCAACCAATCAGAGGACTTGCTACCGGATGTAGTTTATTGTCATATCCAGGACTGGAATACCATAGACAAAGCCAGTGGCAAATAAGGAAGTTCTAAGGAATATAGAAACTACGAAGTAACTATTCTTATTAATCATAAAGAGACTTGACAAATTTACCGCTCACAGGAAATGTGACTTAATTGAAACGTCGGTGCAAAAAATTAGAGGAACACGTGCCAAAGAGGGAAAGAGGGGGGTGAGAGAGGTGGGGAGAGATTGAAAGAGAGAGATGAAGATGGGGGAGAGAGCGAGATAGAGAGGGGAGGAGAGAAGGGGAGAGAGGGGGAGAGAGAGAGGGGGAGAGGGAGAGAATGGAGAGAGAGGGAGAGAGAGAGAGGGGAGAGAGGTGAGAGAGAAGGGGAGAGGAGCGTGAGAGAGAGGGAGATGGGGAGAGAGGAGAGAGAGAGAGGGGAGGAGAGAGAGAGAGGGTAACCTGAGAGAGAGAGGGAGAGAGGAGAGAGAGGGGGAGAGAGAGGGAGAGAGATTTAATAAATTGGAGATAGGGGAGAGAGTGAGATAGAGAGGGGAAGAGAGAAAGGGGAGAAAGAGGGGAGAAAAGGGGGGAGAGAAAACCAAAAGAGAGGGGGAGAAAGTGAGAGAGGGGAAGAGGGGAGAGAGACAGGGAGAGAGAGAGAGAAAGGGAGAGGGGGGGAGAGAATGAAGAAGAGAGGGAGGGGAGGGGAGAGAGGGAGAGAGAGAGAGAAAATGAAAAAGAACGGATTGAAAAATTGAACTTTGATTTGTTGTAGAGATTCTCAAATGATCGAATAGTAACGGACAAAATAAAAAGCACGCGCAGACACAGTCATGCACACACGTTCACACAATCACGCCCACACAATCACATACACACAATCATATACACACGCGCACACAGACGCACAATCACACACATGCTCACAATCACACACGCACACATATTCACAATCACACACATACTCACCACACAGACTTACAATCAAAAAAACACACACATATATTCCAGACTGTGTATATTTTCGTACTACACAGTGTCTCCAACGATTAATCGATTCTAGTAGATTTGTTTTTACGGCTTATCAACCTTTTACAGGTAAGTTAAAGCCAGAAATCTTTTTATAGATTGTGAAGGAAAAGACATTTGGGAGATGATAATATTTACTGATACAAATCCTACTAATTAACACCTAATTGGGAGGAGAAAACGTGGATTCATACCTTTTCCCAAGGGCATCCGCGCGTAAAAGAATGTAACGAACCCGACCAGAACTAGAACTCGCCTCACCTATTTCCAATTCCAAGCCGTTATCCATTAAACCATTATTTACATCACATCAGCACCAATGTATGCACTGGCCAGGTTAGACGTTGCTTAACTTGTTACAGCTTAAGGATCAAGCCATAAACGATAGAATAAAAGGGACGATCTTGAAATCTCTTTAGAAATGAACAAAAGGGTCTAAACAAATATAGGGTCTCTGATGATATATATATAAAGAACAGTTCTTGACGCCAATCTGTGTGTGTGATGTGACGGCACTTGGTCCAGGGTCGAATCCTTTGGTCACGGCGTTAACTGTGACGTCGCTCCTCCTGGTCGCTTTTCGCTGTTCCAAGTGTGACGTTCCAACCCCCTTGGTTAGATGATTACCACCAACGCTTCCAACACCTGGTTACTAGGGTAACTGTACTGATCTCCGGTCTGCCTACCCACGTTGTGATTAGATCTTAGACAGACGGGATCAAACAGGGATTGGGGCCGTATGCAAGCTGAGTCGACGGGGGTGGCAAAACACAAGTAAAAGAAAATACTCACGAGACCAAAAAATTACTGATAAAAAGGGTAACAACCTTTTATATCTAATGTTCGTTACATAAAAATTATTCTTACTTCCCGACCCGCTTTGTGGACTGTGGCACCAAGCTTCTATCATACAACTTAAAGACTTCGAGTTGCCTACTCTCTAGAATTTTGTGTGTCGGAGTGTGGTTTAGTTTTGACACTGGGGCTAATCTCTACCAGTCGTTCACGGCTGATTCTTCTCTTCGGCTTGAGTTGGACGTATTTCTTCACTTCGATTTGGTTTGAGACGAATTTCTGTTCTTGGGCTTGGTTTGATTTTAACTTCTTCTATGCATAACTGCAAGTAACTTCTTCTTCTTCCGTCCGCAACTCTTCTCTCTGCCGTCTGAGGTGATCTGGCTCTCTGTCGTCCGAAAGCTCTCTGTCGTCCGGGCTGAACTGATCTGCTTGTTTGGCCTGCAACTTTACTGCCTGTCTGGCCTGCAACTCTTCTCTCTGCCGTCTGAGGTGGACCCTTCTCGCTGCCGTCCGGGGCTGAACTGATTTCTTTCGATTGGGTTCTGCTTTTATTGACGCCGCAACAAACTGGGGTGGGTCTGTCGGCGTCAGGGGTTTTCTCGATAATTCCAAAAAGTCGCATTATTTCTGATTTCCATTATCGCTCTTATTTTCACCCCTACTTCCTCACAGTGCCTCTGGTGGGGAGGCGCATACCCATCTCCCGGTCTCTCGTATGTCAGGTGACCGTTTTCGACCAATGGGTCTTGAGCGAGCGTCCTTTCTCCTCTTTCTCGCATATCACGACCGCTTTCGGCTAATGAGATTCTGGTTGGGCGTCTCCCGTACTTCGTGACGTCTCCAATCGGGCGTGGCTTATCCCGTCGTTGTTCTGGGAAAGAACACCTTGCTAAAAAACAAAATCTAATTTGGCCTTTTTCGCACGCACGAAAAAATGACAATCTCGGCCTTTCTCACCTTCCTGGTTTCTGTCAAAACAGCCCGCCGCTAATTAGATGTGACTTCAGGAAGAATTTTTCCCGTCTCGCTGGCGCTTTCTGTGAGCCAAGAACAATTGTTTTCACCTCTTTGTTTTTGCTCAGACCTGATAGTCAAAAATCTTAATTATCTGAATTGAAAATGTCTTCACTTCATCATCGTGGGGTTCTAATTTTTAACAGGTCAGAATCTGTATACAATTCCAGCGGTCACCTTCTCATCCCAAAAGACACCTTTCTCCGATTAATATTTCGTTTTCCATTGTTCTAAAAAAATCCCATTTCTCCAAATTGATAATGAGTCTTCTACACAAAAGTAGGCCAGATGCTTTGACCGACATTTTTATCAAGGTTTACATATGTTCATACACTTTTTACCAAGCCTGTTTTCTTTCTTTCTTTTTTTACCTTTAATTCTATTCTCCCAAATAACAATCTCCAACTTGAAATTCGGTCAGGCACGTTGGCCTAGATACCTTTTGACACCTGTTTTCGCTAATGACCGGCCTTTTGCATTACTCATCCTCTTTCTTTTTTTCTTTCTCTTTTCTCTTTTCTTTTCCTTTTTTTTTTTCTTCCCTTAGGATCGCCTAAGTACAATTAGAGAATTATTCTCGAAACTCAATTATTCTTTGTCTAAAATACTAACAACTGGTTAATAAACCGAATAAAAAAAAATTAAATCATATTTCTATGAATATTTCTTTCTTTAGTTTTTTCTAATAATGCAGGGTGCCACACTGAGTTTAAATTCAAAAAAGCCTAAGAACCATCCTAACAATTAACATGCAATTATTCATAGAAAAGTCACAGGTAATCTATGGTACGTCGGTGGGTAAATGACTGAAGTCGGGATGCCAGGTCAGGACCAATAATATTGCAGATTCTCCTTTGGATTTTCATCAAGTATCGCTAAATATACAGCGCTTACCAAACCAGATGTGGTAGCAATATCCAAAGCATAGACGAATAGTAGACTTATAAATATGTAAGATAGATTCTGGCGAAAAAATTGTTTAGCACGATCAAATCAAATTTTTAAAATCAAACCTAGCGATGCATTCAATATAGCCTTTCCACTTCATGTCAGCCGAGAAAGTTTGCCTTAGAAGGTGCAACGTGTCACTTTCCTAGAGGTTAGAATCATTCATGCTGATTGGAGACAGAAAGGAGTCTCTCAGATGCTTAATTGAGAGAAGTGTCTTTTTTTAAATCTTTTTTTAATGTGAGGTTCACTCTGTACAAAGCTCGGGGTCCACTTAAGGTATAAGGTTAGAGTAAGAGGCACAGTTTATGCAGACAGATGAAGTAGATAACTGTTAACCCAAGACTTAAACAAATTAAGATTGTAATGATCGATTAAACACCCGCTTAGGAGTCGTTTCCACAGAGCTGTGGTTCGCGGGAAGAAGCTGTTCGCGTGGAAGTTACATCTCACTATTGGAATACGGAGGTGGTTTGGTACAGTGTGAGTGGCATGACAAGTCCTAGCCATGTAGGTTAGAACTATTGGGACCAAGGAATGCAGTTCGTCTGAGCACTTTCCATAGAAGTAGCGGCAGAACAGTAAAAGACACATTCCGTCTGTGAGAGAGCGGTTGCAGATTGGAAAATAATTTGTCACCTAAAAGGACGTGAAGACGCTTTTGAACTCTATCAAGAGTTGAAAATGAAGACTGGGCAGCTCCTGTTTAAATATGACAACAGTACTCCATTTTCGGCCTGATCTGGGTCTTGTAAAGATAGAGGATAGCAGATGGAGTCAGGTACTTACTGGAGCGGTACAGGAAACCGATTACTGTTTCTGCCTCTTTAGCGATAGATCGTATGTGTGAATTTCAAGCCTTGGGTGATTTTAAGGACCAACAGTCGTTCAATGCACGGAGCCTCTCCCGAGGTTGGGGGTGTTACATCCATTCATCGTGACTGGGTTCGATCGGCGATGATAGAATGTTACTAATTAGGTTTTCAAGGTATTGAATATAACCATCTAGTTTGTAACACCAAACACAAGATAATGCTATCAACAAATGAAAAGAGTTCATCTAAACCTTTTTTTTACGAACACTTAAAAAACAATAAGTGATTTAATTAATGCAAAACAATATAGCAACAAAATTAGACCTGAAGCTGAAATTTACAGAATATACTGTATATGTAAACAGACAAAAATGGCGGACTTTCGGTTGTCGGCTGGATTTGTGTAAGGAGGATGGATAAAATTAAGTTTCTGAGCATGCGCCTTGCAGAGGATATTTTCTAGACAAGCGATACCATTGCGTCAGTGAAGACAGAACATCAGCGACTCTATTGGCTGAGAAATCTCAGACAAAATAATTTACAAAGGTAGCTGCTGAAGTCCTACCTATGCGTCCTCCGACAGGAATCGAACCTGTATCCTATACAGGATATCGACCTTACTACCCGAAACGCTTCCCTGTTGCTCAATCAGTAAAAGCACGTCATGCTATATGACAGTACCGTATAGGATACAGGTTCGATTCCTGTCGGAAGACGCATATTTTCTATGAAAATTTCTCGGACATTCAGGCCGGTAAATGTCATTAATACTGTTTATTATAAACAGAGCATTTATTTAAATATTTGTATATACAATAAGAACGTATAAACATAAAAAAATGTCTTAAAATAAAATTTATTGTTAATCATTTTTTTTAATAAAAAATGTAATGCTGGTATTTTTACTATAAAAATTTATCTTTATACTTTCACACTGTTTTGTTTTTGTTTTGGGGATCACTATTTGTCTACAGCTGGGACCCTAACATCTGCTACTACCCCTGGCCAGAGTAACCTGTAAACAACAGCAATTAAGAGTTGGTTCCACGCTTCTTAAGACCTCCAATCTTCCAATCAGAGGCCTTGCTGTCGGATGTAGATTATCGTCATATCCAGGAGTCTCAGAGCAATATTTTAGGACTAATAATTCTAGGACGAGGGCCACGAGGAATAGCTTTTAACGTAAAATGAACGCTGAAGCACGCTGGAAATTTTGTATTACTTTTCTTCATTGAATGCAGTTCGTGTTTTGTCTTTTATTTATTTATTTATTTTTTCTGTTGGTGCACTTAGGGACTATTGTGCAGTTTAATTGTGCATTGAATCGTGACAACAAGAATAAATAAATAAATAATGTCCCAAGAAATACATAATTGAAATATCGATTAATTACGTATTCTGAGCATGAAAATGCTCAGAATACGTGAAATTTCCATGGATGAATTTGATGAAAGCCCTCATAAATTTAGGGCGCATGTCATGGGAGAGATGAAATACGAATGCTAAAGCTAACTAAACATTTAAAGCTATGTTTTCATCTTCCTTTGCAAATATCAGTCCTTCTGTAAGGCAGCGAATATAGGACAATCTCCTCAAAGATGATGAAGAGACTTGAAGCCACTTAGGGACTATTGTGCAGTTTAATTGTGCATTGAATCGTCACAACAAGAATAAATAAATAATGTCCCAAGAAATACATAATTGAAATATCGATTAATTACGTATTCTGAGCATGAAAATGCTCAGAATACGTGAAATTTCCATGGATGAATTTGATGAAAGCCCTCATAAATTTAGGGCGCATGTCATGGGAGAGATGAAATACGAATGCTAAAGCTAACTAAACATTTAAAGCTATGTTTTCATCTTCCTTTGCAAATATCTGTCCTTCTGTAAGGCAGCGAATACAGAACTATCTCCTCAAAGATGATGAAGAGACTTGAAGCAACAGAAATGTAATTCTACAGAAAGATGCTGAGGATACCATGCGCTCGTGAGCCAAGACTAGGTTTTAGAGAAAATAGAAACAAAAAGGAATCATACTTAACATCAGGAAGAGGCAGTTGAAATTTTTAGCGTACGTAACGAGGAAAGAGGGATTGGAAAACGTGATACACAACAGAAAGAGGGTCAAAGGATAGCAGCGCGTAACATACTTGATGTCTTCAGTAAATAGATGGTAAAACAGGGTTTTGGGAGAAATAACAAAAAGACAAAACTTATCAAGAGCTACAAAGGAGAGGAAGATGTGAAGGGCCATAATCGCCTACGTCATGAAAGCACGCGGCACATAAAAGAAGATCCTTTATATAAAATCATCGGTTATTTATATAATTAGTGGTGATAATACAATGTAGCCAAATCGGTAAAGCAGCTGCCACGAAATGACAGGCGCCTAAAGAAAAGGGATGCTATTTCTATTCCATTCCCAAATTGATTATTCTTCGTCTAAAAAAGCTTTTACAAACACACGGATCTATTTTGAAAAACGGAAGGAGGGTTATAATCTAAAGGCAAAAAACGAATAAAAATAAGACCCTTTACAATTTTTAGGACTATCATAAGAATCTAAAAAAATATTTAAGTTGGTTGAGTTAGTCTAGCACAAGGTGACAACAGTGGGGCATCACTAGAACACAGGAGTAAATAATGACGAGTATCCTTTGTATGTTTCTGCCCAAGCCCGGCGGCAAATGTTAAATCATTTTGATCCCCTAAGGCTGCATTACTTTTACAAGAGGGAAAGTCGATTCAAATATTTTCAAACACTGACTCTAAATATAGTTACTGTATACAATGTACTGATTTGTTCGAGGTGGACCCAGAGGAAAGTAACAATAAAACCCAGAGAATACCAAAAGTGGGAATCTCAAAGACTATATAGTATGAAGCAATTATTGAGAATGGTAAAGATCTCAAAATGCCAGGATTTCTCAAAGAAAATCGAAACGAATCCCCTCTCTCTCTCTCTCTTTCTCTGATGTGTACCCATAAAACGTGGTGGATCGTGGTTGTCCACAGCTTCTTTTCGTTTGATACTCTCCACAATAATTTCTCCTTTCGGTTTCTGATATCTGTTCCTCTAACCTTTTGCACAAACACATAAAGTTTGACACATAATGTCACCCTTTGCTCTTCTTGCCTTTGCCTTTCTTGCTCCATATCCCGCCAGGTCATTGGTGATCATGGCTCTCCACAATTACCTGTCCTTTTTAGCTCTTGGAACATTTTGTATTTTTGCTATATCGCATAAACCATTTTCTGCCATCCATTTATAAAATTTTGTTAGGTAGGTTATGCTCTTGCCTTCAATATACCCTATGAGTATTAAATTTTCCAAGCCCCCTTTCCTCATGAATTGTTTTAGGAATTTAGGCACGGTGGACTAATGGATAGCGGCTCGGACTCAGGAATCGAGTTCGAATTCCAGTTGAATCCATTACATTAACTTATGTGCTAATACGTTTTGGAAAAGGTATGAATCCTCATTTTCTCCCCCCAGCTATGGATAAATAGCTGGACAGACAGGGTTCTATAGCCTTGGATGGCAACTGGTCTACCGCAGAAAGAAATGGCAACCTACTACGGGAAAAATCTGCCTCGGCAGTCATAGATCGAAAGATACATGATCGCCTAAGCGTGTATCACGCATGGCCCATAACTGATTGATTGAGATAACTTTTTCTGATGTTAAGTATAAGTATGAAGTGTTAGAGAAAAAGAGACAACATTTTTCCATTTTCTTTAAAACTTCGTCGTTGCTCACATGTTCAGTCATTGGCATTCTCATAATCCTTCTGTAGAACAACATTTCTGTTGCTTCAAGTTCTGTCTTCACCTGTGACGAGATTGTCCAGTATTCACTGTCTTATAATAGAGCCGATATTACATAACAGTTAAGAAAGGTTTTCTTTGTTTTTAACTTGTTTCTATTGAATGTCTCCCGTTTCTTAATACTTTGCTTAGCTTTTGGAAGGCATATTTCGCTATCCGAATGCAACTTCGGATTTCAGTGTCGCACTCTCCGTCCTCTTCCCTGACATTTAAAATGTTATACTTGTTTGATTTTGAGACTTCTAATTTGTAATTTGCAAGTTTTTTGTACATTACTTACATTATTCGGACTATTGTCCTCATCTTTGTCGCCATATTTATCACAACGCTTCGGCCGTTGTACGCTCCAGCCTTCTTCAGGTGGTTGGAATGTCGAACTGAAACCTTTATCTCGCTCCCTGGGGTAGACTGTTCTAGTTCCACGTGCCAAGTTTGATGGATGTCAGCTATCAGTTATCTCCTGTTAATTTTCCCTCTGAAAGTTCTCCACTGCCTTAACCGGGTATTGAACTCACACTCTTTGGCAATGAGTTGGTGATAAAGCAATGATAACAACAAAGCTGCAATATGAGCTCTGGTAAAAACATGAAATGATAACAGCAAAATTGCAATATGAGCACTGGTAAAAATGGTTGCTGAAGACATTAGGTTTATAATACCCAGAAATTCATACCCAGATGTCCTCAAGGACACATGGCACAGTAGATAAAGGCGTTGGTTCGGTCCAGTGACAGGGCCCAAAGAGTGTAAGTTAAGGCACGGTTAAGGCAGTGGAGAAATTTCAGATAGTCCGAATAATGTACATAATACCTCATCTCAAAAATATAGACAGATACTGAAGGATCGGATAAATATGACGACAAAGATAATAGTCCCTAAATAGTGTACATAATGCCTCATCTCAAAAATATAGACAGATACTGAAGGATCGGATAAATATGGCGACAAAGATGAGGACAATAGTCCGAATAATGTAAATAATGTACATAATACCTCATCTCAGAAATATAGACAGCAAGTTTTTTGGTTCTCCACTGCTGTAGCCTGGTATTGAACTCACAACTCTTTGGGTGTAGTTGCCTTCAGCGAACACATGACCCAGTGTCTAAAGATGTTAGTTAGATACAGTGACTAGATCTAAAGAGAGTTGAGTTGACGGGAAATAACTGAAACATCCAGAAAAGGCATGGCACGTGGAACTAGAACTACTTATACCGGTAGAAGAAATAAAGGCTTCGGTTCGAAATTCCAATCACCTGAAAAAGACCGGAGGGTACAACGGCCGAAACGTTGTGAATATGGCAATGAAGATGAGAATAAAGTCTGAATAACATAAATAATCATAATACCTCATCTCAGAGATATAGACAAATAGATATCTGTTGAGTCAAGCCTTGGTTCCATAATTTTGATGAGGTTTCCCAGTTTCAGTAACAATGTAAGCGGTCTGGCTTTCTTTTCTTCGTTTCTATTTTTATTTTCCTCTCACTCCCTTAACACCACACCCACTTTGAACAGGAATAGAGGTTTTCTGAACACTTGTAGAAAAGAGGTGTAAGACAAGGAGGTGTCCTATCACCGGACTTAACCAAGTAGAGGTCTCT